CTCTGGAGATATTCAAAGCCCACCTGGATGAAGTCCTGTGTAGATTGCTCTAGGAGAACCTGCTTTAGCAGGGGGGTTGGACTAGATGATCTCCTGAGGTCCCTTCCAACCCTTGCGATTCTGTGATTCTGTGATTTGCAACCCAAACATCATGACATCATGAGAGTACCTGACAGCCAAGGAGTGAAAGTGATTGGAAACAAAAGTGAAATCGCCTCGTGCTTTTTACTGCTGGAGCAGAAAAGCAAATAAACAACATAAATAAACAATGAAGAGTAAAAGCAAATTAGATTTAAATGCCCAGCATTAATATCAATTATTTAAAAAGAGTTAGCATTTTTAAGGTTATGGCAATCACTATATTCATCCAAATCTTTCTCCTTTTCTGCCCGGACGTTTGAGCCCCTCACTGTGCGTCCGGGTCGCTGGGATGTCTCTCTCCTGCATCAGCAGCCCTTCGATCATGGATTTAAGAGCAGCTACTCACATTTTCCTGCTTGGCTGGCACTACAGCTATTACATCAGCCCCGTCTCCCAGTCCTCGGGGCCAGCTCCCTCCGACTGCTCCTGGCCAGCACCCTGACTTTCAAGACGCTTCTGCCATTCCTTACATCCCCACTGCTCTTCACCCCTCGTTATTCGTTGCCCCCCAAAAGTCCACCTCTTTCACCTGGTCTTCCCCACTTCCCAAACACCTCCCTGCCTTTTTCTGAGCCATCTTCTGTACGTAGGATCTACTTTGCTCCTCTTGTACAAAACCACCGCCCCCCTCGGCACCCATCGCTTCTGCTCCTCGGGGATAAAAATCACCGCTTTCCTCAGAACCCACCTCGAGAGCAATACCCATCACAAAACCAGCAAACGGGCAGGGCGAGGAGCACAGGGCGCAGCTGGCCCCCGCCGGGCACAGTAACCCGCCGCACATCGTTGGGTTTTTTTCCCCCCCCTCCTCGTTTTTTTTTCACAGCAGACGACGTTCGCTCTCACCTGTGCCCCCGCCACCCCGACCCCCCGCAGCAACCCGCCGGAGCTCATCGGGAAGGGCCACCGCTCGGCGACCCGGCTCACCGAGGCCTCCCCTCCACGCAGCCGCTTCGGGCTTCAAACGCCGCGGAGGTTTTTAACGTCACCATCCCCGAGCTTCCCCCTGCCTTCCTCCATTTAACCGCTCCGCCGGCTGGGTCCTCGGGGCCCGGGGGTGGGGAGCCGGCCCGTTTCCCAAATTCACCCTGCGAAGGCGCTGGCCCGCGGG